AGATATTTACTTTTGTTGATCTCATCTCCTCACAGGTGACTGCTCTTTTTAGCATGTAGTACCTTGGTCCACAAAGCATTTGACTACTATGATAATCTAGATTTTATTCACTATTTTGGTCTTTGCAATCCTCTTCATGTTCCTTCTCTTTCAGTGCTTCTTCTGCCTTTTTTGTTGTTAGTTTATTTCAAAGAAGGAAAAAAGGAGGCCAGCAAGTTCTGTTCCACATCACGGTCCCCTTTTTTCATGGTTCTTTTCCAAGTTTATTTTTGTATGATCCTGTCCCTCCCTCTTCCAGAGTCTTCAACCAAAAAAATTCTGTTTGGCTGCAATATTTTGCTTAATTGTCATTTGAAACTGATGCTCTGCTTGTCTCCCTCTCTCAATACTATTTAATCCATCATTTTTCTTTGTACTTTATTGTGAAGACTGAATCATAATATTGGGCATGAATCAGTTTGATATTTTGTCTTCATCTATAATAGTATGATTTCAAATTAATGAGGTTCTCTTTTCCACACTGTTGTTAATCTATGCCCATCTGTTATTCCTTTTCTTCTGCAGGTACTCTGTAGCCCCAATAATATATTATATGGTTCTGTTATGTGCTTGCTGAGACTTAAAAACCAATCAAAGTCTCAACTGAATTTGGAGTTGATCACTTCTTGTTGAACTTTTAGAATTTTAACACTCATGCAAACTTTCTTAAATATTTAGCTGACAACTACTATTTTTCTGCAGATATTTGCTGATCTGAAAGCCCAGATTTTGGCTTCACAGGTGAGTTTTTTGGACATTATTTTTCTCAATGTTTTTCCGTCTTTCTAGTGTTGTAAGGACTAAATGTGTAAACAGAATCGCAAAGATAGTTTTTTTGCTTACCATTGGATGAGCAACATATTTTCTTAATGCTGTTTCAAGACATTTTCTGCTTACACGTAGTTGTTGCTACAAATTTCATATGTGCTAACGAAATTTTGAAGATAGGTTTGTTTCCTTAGCATTGGATCCGCAACATAGTATTAGCGAAAGTCATACCCTTTTTTCATTAAAGCTGCTACATGGAAGAACATGTTGACATTCTACGGCTGATGCTCAGTGGCTTTGGCTTCCTTGCTACTTGGCAATTAAATATTTCCTCAGCTTAATTGTTTAGTCAATTCGAGGAAATTGTATTTGTATTGAAGATCAGCGTTACCATTAAAACAACATGATTCCCTTTACATAAGACCTGAACAATTTTCTTATAACTTAATAGAAAATGATGGAAAGGTTTTACATTAGGTTACTTCTAAGTTTTTAGGCTTTTTGATTCAAATGAACTGTCTTAGGATCAAAATTGATAGTCTCCAAACATCAGATTATGAAGGATCAATGACAGTGTAAACCAAGCCTAAGATAAAGAGGCCACTAGTCAGCCACATGCAGCAAACTGGAAACAATCCTAGTTGAAGTTGGACTTTGACAACAAATACGTATAAACAAACTTTGACTTTGGGGCGGAGTTAGAGGCAGGGGCCGTGGCTCCCCAAAGTTGCCTTAGCCATATGTGTCTTCTTACCCAAAAAATGGTAAAATCTTATTTGGCCCACCGAGAATTCCCCCTCCCCCTCCCTTTTAGGAAATTTTACAATGAAATGGTAAATTTGGCAAGTTGTTAACATTTTTGCTTTTGGATTCGATCAGTAATTTGATTTGCTTTACTTTTTCAATAGAAAATTTACCCCCTTTTTATATAATTATTATTCATTAAACTTTTTAAGTTTCTTAGAATGATATTAACTTTTTAATTAATCAAACAAGCGTGTTGACATTAATAATATGTGAAATTATTGCATTTTATTTAGACAAAAAATACAATTAAAAAAGTTAAACTAATTAGTATATAAGTATATAAGTTGTGCATATTAAATCAATTGTACATTATCGCTTGTCATTTTTTAATTTTCTGTCAAGCTTCTCTGTTTTTAAATTCAACCTTTTAAGAGGTTGTGAAACTTCCATTCTTTATTTTTTGAAAAAAGTTAGTAATTAGATTAATTTTATTTAATCTTTTATATATTCAATAATTTCACTTAACCGTGAAAAGAAAATTTTACCTTTTCATGGACATTATTCTTATCATTTTATCATTTGATTCAACTTTAATATTCCTTTTATTAGATATTTTTCATCAACTCATCCTGATTCCCCCTGCCCCTATGCTTCGACGTTGCATAACATTGGAACCATGCTTGGAATGGCTTTTAAGGACCCTTCTGGAGTAGCATCTTTCATGCATGAAACCTGAATGGGTCATAGATACTTTAAACTTTAGAGTTTCCCATATTCTAAATTTTCTAGCTCAATGTCTTAGATTGAGGTCAAAATTAAAATTCAGGAAACAGAAAAGGATGCTAGTAACTTTTCCACTGCTATGAAGCCAAGGCACAGTTACTTTTCAGTGTGTCGACTAAACCTAAAAGTTTATACGGATCTTTCATAATTGTTGTGTATGAAGTGGCGTATCCCTTAAAAAGCAGTGCTATTGCAGAAAGTTGCAGTTGTGGTTGCATCCATTTATAATTTTTCACAATCTCGTGAATTTTGATGGTGATCTATTATTTTAGACGTGAACAATTACTATTAGAAATTCTGGCATACCGAAAATTACTCAAATCCTCTAACAGAGAGGACAGAGGTTGCAACTACCGTTGGTGGCACTGTTATTATGCTGTGTAATTTTTGTGATGTTTGATTATATTGAATTGTGCTGTATGAATCTTTTGTGAAGAGGGAATTGATGCTGTCTGGACTTCGAGTTGTACTTCTTAGAATTTTACTTTTGTCTGGAATACTCTTTAACTGTCGGTTTCATGTTGTGAATGGCCACAATATTTAGTTCTAGTGATGATTTTAGCCTAGGACTAATAAATTTCCTCGGTTCCTCTCTCTCTCTCTCTCTATCTTCACCTTCACTTATCTTACTCCTTTCCTTTAGTGTCCATCATATGACACGTGCATCATTTTGCAGCCCGTGGATCAACATCAGAGGCTATCCATTTGTTTTGACAAGCTTATGACAGATGTTACTCGAAGCTTAGATTCAAAGAACAGGGACAAGTTCACCCAGAATCTAACCATATTCAGACATGAATTTCGTGTGAAGTAGCTCAAATAATGTGCATTCACTACATTTTTGAGCAACTGTTTTCCTGCAAAAGATGTGCATCTGGTGAGACTCTTGGCTTGTCATCATGGATAGTTTGAATGTGGGAGCCAAGCATCTTGTTGCTGCAGTGTGTTGGTTTTTTTTGCCTGAACTAAAAAGAGCAGATTCTTTCTGAAGTCGGTGCAAAAGTTCTGTGTGAAACAGTTATGATGGTATTGTATAGTTTCCTATACCAGAAGCATTTTGGAATGTTACAAAGGATTTGCCAAGGTGCATAAAGGTTGTAGCAAGTCTGACATATGGTTGGGTAATGGCGATTTTCATCTAGTAGATCAATTCTTTTATAGCATATATTGTAAATCATGGGGGTTTATGTTTCAGAGATGGATCATATTTGCGGTACCCTGAAAAAAGAGATGAGGAAAGGAAAATAACTCCAGTACTAGTATGGAGTTTGATGTTTTTTGTACATTAACATCCACATTCTTTTGTACTTGTTGATAGCATAAAGAAGTAAAGCAAAATTGGGTCAAGTTTGGAAGTTTTTTTTTTTTCTGGTTGGGTTGAGGTAGTCCTGAACCATTTTTGCAGCATATCTCAGTTTGTATGCACATTATTCACCTGCAATGTCATATTTTATGCTTGGCTGTTGGAACAAAATGGGAACGGAATTTCCCCTGTCCGCATGGGGCGAATTTTTGTTTTGTAAGGTAATTTTTCATGAATTAATATTTGATGCATTGACAGTGTATAGTTTCTATATACGGTCAAGCCATTAAATTCTAACACCTCATAATTAGGTATTATTTTGAAAGAAATAAAAGGTTGATAAGGACTTAAACCGGTATCGGGTTTTAATATCGACTTTTTATTTCTTTCAATATACTTCATTAATAAGGTGTTAGAATTTGGTGACCTGATAGTGTATAGAAGCTATATAGTGAGTGCATCAAAATTTTCCCATTTTTCATCCATCAGGTGCCTATTTGGTAAGCCTAATCCTGTTATTTTCTTCATCGTTGGAATGTCCAAATGGCAAGTAGCTCCCTCTGTCTCATTCATTATATACAATTGTTGTTTTCGTATTTTTGTTATTATATACTTCTTATTGGGTGGATTCCGATATAGTGTGTACTCTTCTTAGAATAATGTTGCTTTTGGCTATTTCCGTCTGATTGATGATGCATTTGCTATTTATTTTTATTTTTTATTCATTTTATTTGATAAAATAATTTTTTAATTATTTAGAAAATTTTAAATAAATTTATTTTTTATAAAGTTTAATTAGAATTTTTTATGTTAAGTTTGAGTTAAATATGTATTTATTATTAACAACAGTTGATAAATTATCATTAATTAAATTTATTATTTTTATGTCGTAACATGCATGTGACCTGTTGATTTTTTCTAATAAATAATGATGTGGCATGATAATATGGTTATATGTGGTTGTCTTATCTTCTATTATAATTAGTTAGCATATGGCATTAAAGTGGCATTTGATGAATAGTAATTAATCTATTTTTAATTATAAAAACTTATTTGATTTAAAATAAAACTACAGGAATTAGATTAAATGTAATAAAAATATTTATATAAATTTTTTAAAAAAGTTTAAGAATTTTTTAAGATAAAAATTAAATAAAAAAATTAAAATGAAGTTTAAATTTATTTTTTTTATTAATACCAAGTGTCCTTATTGTGCAAGATGATAATTGGCTCAAAGCAGTTTAATTTTCAATAACAGCATGTATGGTATAGGGAATAATTAATCAAAATTACAAATAGAATTTTTGGACTTAGGAAAAACAAGGTTAGGAGACAGAAAAAAATTGAATTTTTGAGTCATATAATCATTAACAGATTATCATATATAATGTCACATTAGTAATAAAATATCATGATTTCATAAATAATAGAAATTTTTTAATAGTATTAACAATTAGGCTAACATTCTCAATTTTAAAAAATATAAAGATTTAATTTTTACAAATTATTATACAAAGATTAAATTTGTCACTTTGTCAAAATATAGTGATTAATTGAATAATTTAAGCTATTTTGAAATATAGTCTTAATAATAATGCTTCCTAACAAAAAGCCAATTTGTATTTTTTTTAATTTTGCAAAAAATGATTTGATTTCAAAATACATGAGGTCTTTGATGCTTTTCTTGTTTTCACTCCTTTCCTATTTATTGTTTTAAATATAAAATTGTGGTATTAACATATTTGATAGCCACATTTGGATTAAAAGAAGCATTTCATCTTTAATGATAAGTTTTCTTTGGTCATTTTTCTTTTTGAAAGACAAAAAGAAAGATTGGCACAGTCATTAAAGCAATATTTGCTTTCATATTCTTTCAATAATTCCCTTGTTTAAATAGAAGCATATGCCATTTTCTTGTTTTCGGTTCAAACGCAAGCAATTATAGAAGTAATTAGCAACCCAAATGGCTCAAAATATGGGTCACTAACCCAATGGATTCTTTGCTCGTTATTATAGAGTTACGTTCACCAATAGGCCTAAATGTATTTTATATAGGTAGGCATGGAGGAGGAGATATTGATTTCAGGACACAAGGATACGTGATCAATCCAAGTTGGCATAGTGGAAGAAATCTCTGTATACGACTTTCATGGATAATATCACAATTAAAGAGGGTTTTGACGAATTCGAGGATGTTCTTGTGTTAGAAAGTGTATCTAAGAGAAGGGATAATTTTGCTTTTGTTAGGTTTAGGGAGGAAAGGGAGCTAAGGCCATCCATTAAGTCTAGGAGACAATTACTGGTTAAAGAGGCATACACAATAAAGAGAAAAATGCCTTGCTCTTTTTTGATAAACTAGCGGTAGATCAAAGCCTACCTGCAACCTTTATGCCTTAGGTGGAACCTCCTGTGAAACATAAAGAAGAGGAAAAGGCCTAGAGTTGTATTCCTAAATCTAACAATGCATAGCTGAAATGCAATTGCAATTGGGTTAGGACCTTTCGAGATGGCTGTTCAATCGATGGCTTGTAGAAAGGCCTCATGATGTAAAGGATTGAGATTACAATTCGCCCATTGGGGGGATTTGAGGTACTGCTTACCTTTTGTGATATTGAGATGAAAGTATTGATTGAAGATTATTAGAATTGCTTTCAACCATGGTTGAGTAATTTAGTGGCCTATGATGAAAACTTAGTGCAATAGGATTCTTTTTTTGTTGGGTGAAAGTAGAAGATGTTCTGTTGCATATTTGACATTACAATTTATTCAAAGCTTTAGGGCATAAATGGGGTGAATTTGTGACATCGGATGCTTGTACAATGACTTTGAGCAAATTTGATTTTGGCTGCATACTTGTTAAAATTGGAAAAGTGAGTTGCATTTTGACTTTCACAACATAATGTGTAGGTGATAACTTATATAAAATCCATACTTCGGTATTGGTAGTGTTAAAGGCACTGGATTCAGGTCATAATTGGCGGTCAGAGCAAAATATTATGATGAAGGGAACATTTCACTCCAATGATAAGGCATGTTTTATTAGTGAGATTTGAAATTCAAATTTGGATTCAAAGCCAAGGGCTGGAATAGGAGGCCAAAGTCTTACAAGGACATAGCGTGGAGGGATTAATGGTGGCAATTAGAATGATATCTTGATGGAAAATATTTTTGCATAATTATTTACAAATTTAGAGGAACATGGAGGTTAAAAATTCAAACTTGATTTAAAAGTGCAATGAGATTTTTAATTTGTTCATTTTTTAGATTGAGGGATAAGATGGATAAAGATTATTGAAATTCAAATAAGGTTGTGTAGATTCAGACACATTTATTGAAAGGTGGTATTGAAAACGGTCATTAGGAAGGACTTTTCAAATAGAGTGAATGAGGGAAAAAATGTTGAAATAGACTCTTGTGAACGGAAGGCGGTAAATGTTGGGGATAAAAGTTTGAATCCAAATAGTTAAGAATGTTTGGAAAATAATGCTATTATAATATGTAATGAGGAGAGAGAATTTAATTCTGTGGAGTGTTATTGTTTGGATAAAAATCATTTAAATATGAGTCCTTTAAATTTAGAATTTTCAAGTGATTGTGAATAGTTAGAAAGGCCAAGGTCTCTTTACAAGGATTCCACATCGAATACCACAAGGTTATCTGATTTACAAGAAGAGGATATGATAACGCCAAAATGGTATCTGGGTGAGAATGGTGCTGGTGAAGAGATTGTGGACTTGTTTGCAACTAAGAAAGAAAGATGGGATTAAGTTATAGATGATAAATCGCAAGATATGATTTACACTGAAGGTAACATTTATGAAAGTGATGCTCAGTTAGAAGATAAGGTGAAGGAGGGAAGTATAATCAAAAGACCCAGAAGTAAGAAAGGTTACAACAAAAACAAGTTGTCAAACGGTAAAAAAGGTATGGTTTTGTGAAACAATAAATGGGCAAAAGAAGTTATTGATGAATCTGTACAAATCTTGGATCTAAGTTCATTATGGATTTTAGTCCTGATTTATGGTTTTCTCTCGATTTTAGGTGGCCAAAATTTCAAGGGTTAACAACTCCGGCGAAGATAACGATTGGGTTTTGAGTTTAGCTACTATTTAGGATTAATTATTGGGGTTAAGGGAATAGACCCCAAAGCCATATGACTAAATAAGCTGCATGCATTTTTTAGCCAATTTTCTAAGTGATTAAAATATTTTTTTTGGTTCAATTTTTTTCATTTAGTCTTCATACTTTATATTTTTTTTTCAATTTAGTTCATGAACTATATACTTTTATTCAATTTAGTTCTTATGATGTTGCCTTTTTTTTTTTTTGAGAATTTTTTTCTTGATCTGCTAGATCAGTATTAAAGCATAGTGGCAGTCATTTTGATCCCAACTCATGGACATGTCCGTAAAATTTGTTACATCAACACTAACATCATCATCTTTAACAGCAAAATTAAACAGTATAAAGGGCACTAAATTGCTCTAATTTCTAAAATTAAGAAACTAAATTAACCAACTTTGAAGTACAAGAACTGAATTGATGAAAATGAATGGGTACAGAGACTATCAGGTACTTTAACCATTTGCTAATAGCATTCAAAATTCTAAAAATTAAAACCCTACAAAATTTATATTTTATTTTATTTCATTCAATTTCACAAATAAGAGGTGCCTTAGCTTTCTAAAAATGGGTTTTTTAAGGAATACAGTGGGAATGGAATGCCTAATAGTCAATAAGATTATAAGATGGCAAAGGGTTATTGTTTTAGTTGATATAACTGTTTTGGGTTTCACTTTCCATGCATATTTAGATAATTGCTTAAACAAAACATAAATTACCTTGAATAAGTTTCATTCTATCTAAATAATGTTGGAAGAATGGGTTGGAACTAGTCCCTTCATTTTGACTATTAAATTTCAAGTACAAGAAAAGAAGTTACATCACAAAAAAAAATGACTAATTGTTAGTTTTTTTTTAAACAACTATTTGTTGTTTTATAATTGGCATTTGAATTATTTAAAAGAAATTCAAATAAATTTTTATTTTTTATTATATTTAATTAAATTTTTATATTTTATTCTTAATCAAATATACACTATCAGTCGATTAACTGTTAATAGTCAAAATTGTTATTATTGTTATGAATATTTTTGTGAATATCT